TCACGCATATAATAAATAATATAACATAATTCTAACATAAAAATAATTATACATTTCAAGTTATTATAATTATATAAATAATGATGAAGTTATTCATGAAAATATTAATTGATTTGACCATATATTACTTTGATCATTTCATGTTTAATTAATTTGAAATTAGTTGTAAATTAGTAAATAATTAATTTCAATAGTTTGCGCTTTAAAGATTATACACTAGCTCGTGGGTGCAATTGTTATATAAATCATTATTTTGGTGCAAATATACTGTATGTATTACAAGATTTGGTGAGATAATTATAATTGTATTAATTATCATTAACTTATTAATTAAAACATGTCAACAAAATAACTTATTATTAATAAATTATTAGGACATGTANTTATCATTAACTTATTAATTAAAACATGTCAACAAAATAACTTATTATTAATAAATTATTAGGACATGTATTTGCACCCAATTGAATTAACATACAAATAATATAATTTACATAAAACCTTAGTAAATAGCGTAATATGTAATATGTACAGTACAGGTATATAGTTTAAACAATGCAATCTCAATTAAAACAAAATATAGATATAATTAAAGATTAAAAATGAGCAATCAAAACTTAACTTGAAAAATTAACAAATAAAAAATTATACAATAATTAGTCACTTATTTGTTAGCCACTAGTTTTTTTTCAAACAAATACAACTCCTATGGACATAATGGTCACAATTAACCACATATGACACCCAACACAAGGAAACCCCATGTCGGCCCTGTGGCACGACTCAGGTGTGTAGTCCTTACATAGGGCATCCAGGTCCTTTAGTAAAGTATATGGCAATTCATGAATTAGGTCCACCTGTCGGGCATCACACGTGTCTCTGGCCATATGACACATAACAGTCCCTCAGTCGCCATATGTCGCAACACTTGACACTACGGGTCCACTCGTTATCGGCTTCCAAATTATTGCCCTTTTCCATCACCATGGTCCTTTGTTCAGCTTTCAGGTTACAATCAGTCATGTTTTCATGTATTTGCCCGAAACAACTGGCCTGTCAGGTGATTGGGAATATTTTGTTAGTTATTAGTTAATGGTGATTTAAATTAGCTATAGTTGTATTGTTAATGAATGTAAAGTTAAAATATCTAATACAGTATTCATTATTCTATAAAATTCTATGAGCGGAGTTTACAAATATTTTTGTATTGATTATAATAATATCTGATAGACCAATATTAGATGAGTCTCTGAAAAAATGCTTTTATTTCTTGTTTAAATATTGCTTTTGTGTAAAGTTTGAAATACTATGTATAAACTGATTACTTTCAAACTTTACACGAAAGCAATATTTAAACAGAAATAAAAACATTTTTTAGAGACTTATCTCATATTGGTCGATCAGATATAATAAAATCGATCTGACAAATACATACAGTATGCTGTATATTCAAACTAGAAACTGCATGAATATGTACACTGTATTACAATACTGTATACAAAACATTTATATTATGAATATAAGTATTTTAGTTTTTTAATGAAAAACAAAATATATTTAAAGAGAATTGCCTCAAAACAAAAGGTTTTATAAATTACACAACAGTTTCTAAAATATTGTATTATTTGTTATTTATAGACAAATAATGAGTATACATACGATTATCGGATACTGACTCGTGTGACCCAACTGTCCAAACAACAAATCCGTCGCTTTTGGCAGTTTAGGGACCGACTGTTTCCCACTAACAACGGCCAACAGACTCACCACTGACCACAAAATGTACGCAAAACTCATCAAACAAATAGTAATTCACAAATAAAATAAGAAAATTAATGTTTTATTAAAATAGATTTGTTTGAAAT